ACCAATTATCTATAGGAGTGGTTTTTTTTTTTTGTCATAAATGGGTACTGGACTTTGTCAAAAGCTTTTTATACATCTATTGAGATTATCATATGATTTTTGTCCTTTGCTCTTTTAATATAATGTATTATATTTATTGATTTATGTGTGTTGAATCATCCTGGCATTCATGGGATGAATCCTAATTGGTCATAGTGTATAATCTTCTTGATAATTTGATGCATTGTGTTTCCCAGTATCTTTTCATTAAATATTTTTGCATTTATGTTCATTAGAGAGATAGTCTTCTCTTTTTAAGATAATTAATTAATTTGGTACAGGGTCTCCCTGTGCATCTTGGACTCATAGTGATCCTTCTGTCTTAGCCTCCCGGTGCTGGGATTAAAGGCCTGCACCACCATGCCTGGTTTCAGGACCAGGTGTGCATGGGATTCCAGGGCCAGCACAACATGTGGTACCAGGGATTGAATTTGGGACCTTGCATTTGTCAGGCAGGTGCTTAGACATCTCCCTAGCCCCTGTAGTACTCTTTTTAGCTTAGATCCATCTCTTATTTTGAGTGTCAATGTAATGCTTGCTTCCAGGAATAAATTTGGGAGTATTATTTCTCTTTCAATTTGATTAATAAGTTTGAGGAGTAGTAAATTATATCTATTCTAAATTTCTTATAGAATTCAACAGTGAATCATTCAAAACTTGGGCTTTCCTTTGTGGCTAGTTCTATAATTACATTTTCAGTTTCACTGACTGATATTAGGTTATTTTACAATCTTCTTGATTCAGCTTTGCTAATTTATATGTATCAAGGAATCTGCCCATTTCTTCTGTATTTTCCATCTAATTAGAATACAAGTTCTCAAAGTAGGTATTCCATGAGTGAGTATGTGATCTGTTTTGGAGAAAGTCCCATGAACAGCTGAGAAGAATGTGTATTCTCTTGTTGTGGGGTGAAACACTCTATGAATATCTGGTAAGACCATTTTTCAAATGTTTTTTTTCTGTTTGATATTTCTTTCTTTGTTTCTTTCAGATTAAAAAGCTAGTTGATCAGTTTGAAGCAGTGGGGTATTAGGGTACCCCCCATTACAGTTGTATTAGTGCTTATTGATTTTTTTCATTCCTTTATGTTTTATGAGTTGTGTGGGCTGATATTTGTGTGTGTGTGTGTGTGTGTGTGTGTGTGTGTGTGATTATTATCTTTCTCTGGGATTGTTCTCTTAACACATATGTAGTGACTTTCTTAGTCTCTGGCTTGAAATCTACTTTGTCTACAAAATAGAATAGCTACCCCTGCTTTTTTTTCCAGGTTCCTGTCACATGGAATATTGTTTTCCATCCTTTGACTTTCATTCTATACATTTCTTTTTGAGTTAAATTATATTGTTGCATCTTGTTTGTTGATAAATTCTACCACTCTTCTGATTAGTGATTTGAGACCATTCACCTTGATGGCTGTAACTGATTTGCGTTGGCTTACCCTTGCTATATTATTTTTCTGTCTTTGGTTCCCTTTCTTTCCTCTCTGTTTTAATTATTTGCCTTGCTTGGTGCATTCATTCAATTGGGATTCATGGAATTGTGTTGTCTTTTTCAAAAATATCTTTCAGAGATGGTTCACTGGTCATGAATTTCTTCAGTGTGAGTTCAGTAGCCTTGAATTTCTTCAGGTATCTTTCTAATGGTAGCACTCTTATTTCTCCAATAATTTTGAAAGGTAATTTTGTCAAGTGCGTCAATCTGGGTTATAGGTTATTTTGTTTCAGGGCTTGAAAAACTTTCCTCTAAACTCCTTGACTTAAAGGCTTGTGTTGAGAAGTCTGCTGTGACTCTGATGGTCCTTCATTCCTAGGCAATTTGGTTCTTTTCTCTAGCAGCTTTTAATATCCTGTTCCTGTGTTGAATTTCTGAAATCTTGACTATTATGTCTTGGTGTAGTTTTTTCTGGTTATGGTCAATTGGAGTTCTCTGTGCATCACTTACTGTATGTCCAATTATTTTTCCATCCTTGAGATTGTCTTCTGTATACATGTTTTTTATTCCCTTTGTGCCATTTTCTAATTTTTCATCAATTCCTGTCAGTCTTATGTTATTCTTCTTTGCATCCTCTAGCAGGGACTGGATTGATTTCTTGGTCTCTTGCTTTTCTAAGGAGTTTTTCACTTGGTGATTTCTGTCTTCCAGATCTAATACTCTGTCTCACATTGGTTGACTGTATTCTATATGCTTTCAATAGAATTTTTAATCTCCTGGAAATCTGTTTGAATCTGTTTCATGGAATGCAGTTCTTTCTTTTGGTGGACTTTCATGATTTCTATCACTTTCCTGAGGTCTTCTATTTTTTTACGTCTTACCTGCTATAGATTCACTAGCTATGTTTTTCCTTATGGTCATTATCTCTTTAGTTGTCTGTGAAATTATTTCTGATTTTTTTCTAGAGCTTCATTCATCTGCTTTGTTATTTCTGCTGCTCCCATTTCAGAAATTTTATTTTATTTTATTTATTTTTTTTCTGTATTTGGGGAAGGGTCTACAGGGTATTCAGGGTCTCACTGCTAGATTAGACTTGTAGTGATCCACCCGTTTATAGCCTCCCAAATAACTGGGATTACAGGCATGCATCACCATGCCCAGTCTCAATCGCAGTCTCAGTGCTCCCCAGGGGTGGGGCTGGCATGGCAGGCCTGGGGATTGAACCCCTGGCCCCTGTACCTGCTTGCAGGCACTTTAATCCGCTGAGCTATTTGGCCAGTCCTTCATTTCAGAAATTTTAGCTCATGGCTTTTGATTTCTTCCACCTCAGTGCCCCTTGTATTTGCCTTCAGTGAGTTGAAGGTCTGGGGCTGCATCTTATTTGTATTTTTCAAATTTGTTTTCTGCATTAATTCTTGTGAATTTCTTATGGTAGATAACTTTGTTACTAGTACTGAGACCTCTTTACAAAGTGACTATTTTTCGGAGGTGCCCCCCAGGTGTATCTGGCTTTTAAGTCTGTTCCAAGATCCTACCTCTTCAATGTATTAGGGATGGGAAGTTGCTGCCTATTGGGCCTAGCACCTGATTCTTTGATGCTAGACTGTAGCATCGCTTATGACCACCCCTTCCCCCCAAAAAAATTCTCAGTATTAGTACGCAAGTAAGAACAACTGATCATAGCAACTGTGTCACCCTGGCAAAGTGGTACAGTCAGTACTACCAGTGACATCAAGTACTGCCTAGAAAGTGATGAAGTGTGTTAACTACTAATTTGGCACATTAAACGATGGGTGAAACTATAGTTATATAACAAAATCTAATTCTTTAATAGCTTATACTACTCTTACATAATATCACACTTATTTTTACTTGTCCAATGTAAATTTTTCCTACATTTCTAAATCTTCTAAGATAGATTTGAAGTTTCATGGGACCAAAATGGCTTTGTCTTGTTCACTACTAAATGTCATGTCAAGCTGGGGAGATAGCTCAGTGGCATAAGCACCTGCCTGGCAAGCACAAAGCCCTGAGTTTGATCACCTGATACAAAAAAAAATCGGTCATGTCTGACACAAGGCACATAATCAGTTGATATTTGGTTGAAGCAATGTGTATTGTCAGCCACTCAGGATGGAAGAAAGCTTTAGTAACAAAATATATTTTTACATACCAGAAACAATAATTTATTTTATTCACCTTGAAAAATCTCCCATTTCTCTTTTCTGCTATCTGGTTTTTGTTTGGTGGGTCTGATTGCCTTCTGCTGCCCTCTCCCCTGGGTGCCAAGGTCTCTAGAATGGCTGACTTCCAGCCACCTGAGCCCAGGCAGTAGCCATTACTGTGAGCACATAGCCATTCCAGTTTTCCTGTTTCATGCCCACCCCACGAAACTCATCCTACTGATGCAGCTCAGTAAACCCAGGACTCTATTTTGGAGTTGCTTTAGGAAGTCCTGCCCACAAACCTAAATTCAGGCGGGTTGGATTTTGTTGTTGTTGTTACCATTTATGTAACAACCAGTATTGAGTGTGACCACTTTTGCTTCCTAGTTTCTGATGCCTGCTCTTCCATCCATTTCTTTTAACCTTTGTCCATTGTTACTAGCTAACAACTTTTTTCCTGTATATTGAAAGCAAGTTCCAAGAGTCCTACCCTAGCTGATTATAATTAATTAGAATCATTGGTCTTGGACAAAGTTCTCATATTCTAAACTACTCTCAAGTATGGAAATTTCTTGCTCATGGATGATGCTTAATTAGGTGTGGCTCGAGTGATCTGGTTCAGATTAAGGTTCTCTGTGTATAATCAAGGAGGACTGAGCCCACAGAACTTCTCTGAGTAAGCTGTGAGCACATAGCCATTCTAGTTCGCCCTGTTTCATGCCCACCCCACCTAAGCCCATCCCACTAGCCCTAGCTACAGAACTTCTATAAGTACAAAATTCTCACAGTATCGGGTAGGGAAGGCCAGCTTTCTGGTCCTGGGACTCTCCAGCATGTTCAGTTGTCTGTGCATTGAACTGCAGTTGTTAATGTTTAATGCTACAGGGTTGCCATGTGGAATACAGATGTAGCGCTGAGCTCACTCTTGCTTGTGGAGAACACATGCAGAGTTGCACAGCAAGCACAGAAGGATGGCTTGAAAGCCATGAGTAGCTTGACAGAAGGCCACACACTGGCTGCGGCCTACACAGGTCAGACAGTCTGAACTGGCCTGTTAGGTAAACTTCATCCTCACTGACATTTGTCTTTTCTAATGACGTGTTAAAAACAGAAAGTTCTGGCTCACATCTCAGCCTTTTATTATCCTTATTAAAAACTTATGCTGTCAAAAAGTTAAAGTAAAATTAAAAATGGATATCAAGCATATTCTCCTTTGCCTAATGTTTAAAGTTTAAAAAAGAATGTTGCTCTTAGGGTTTTTGTATATGTTTGTGATGATAATTATGACTCCGCCTGAGGAACTGGTACACATCCTTGTCATGTCTCAGTCATCTCGCGCCTTCTGCCCTCCAGGATACTGCTCAGCTATTTCTTTAGAGGGTCGTGCATGTACCAGAAATGTGTGAAGAGAACCAGTTGTTTCACCTGCAATCTCAAGAAGGTGACCTTGAAACTAGGCTGCGAGCTAGGGAGGAACTGCTTGTTCTCCTTCAGATTGTCGCTACTCTTCCACTTCGCGGCAGTCCTAGTCGCTGAATGCTGACAAGCACGCACTGAAATTCCCTCTTTTGTGTTTGGTCATCCAGACCAAATGACAGCAAGGACCCCTGGTACCCTTTCATTAAATGCGACCCTCAGTGGAGACAGACATGATGAGCTAAGCCCTGCGCTTTATTCCTATGAGTTGGCCACACCTCCAAGGGTTTTCCATATCCATAGCCTCTTTGCTTCCAGTCATTTCTCCCGTATGCATTGTCCCACCGAGAGCCTGGAGGGTGGCTATCCTGAAGGACAAAGCTAGATGTGCACCACCCTGTGCATCCGCACACATGCAATGAAAGTGGACTGTATCCCTGATGGCCATCCGACTTTAGAGATGATTTCTAATTCAGACTCAACATAGTCCTAAGAGTTTTGATCCTCTTGGGAAAATTCTTAGTGAGCTAAATATCTCTCCCAGTCAAATTGGTATTGAATATTTGAAGCCTGCCATATAATTAAAAAAAATTATTTAGTAAATGAGAACAGTAGTAGAAGGATTGGTTCAGGAGGAAATAAAAAGTTCTTTGTGTTAGATTTCTGTATGGAATTTAGAACTAAGGAGACATTTAACAAACTGCAAGATAAGGTGTGCTCAGCCTTTACAAACCTTCTCCAGGAACTGAAACGCAGTCTGCATTTGAAACATTTGAAAGAATTCATACCCTTGTCCAGCAGGTGGCACTCGTACATTACAGTTTAGAGAAGAAAATAGGCACCAAGTAAGGAAACTTTTCATAATTGTTTAAAATACCCATCTACCCCAGGCTTCCTTTCATCTCCTCAAAACCTCAACTCACTTCTACTCTACTCCAAAACAGTAAAACAGAAAAACCGATCTCGTTCACGTCTCTTCCAGTGTCCAAGTTGCTGTAGCTACTCGTAGGAAAATAGCTTTGGTATTATTGCTAGGTCCTAGGGTGGGACCCGTGAAGTCACGTGCTGGACCAGTGTAACATGGGAATGCAGGAGGCTTTGTTGAAACTTGTAAAGAATTTGGAGAGTGTACCAGCAGTGCGTGAGCCTGCACGAGTTGTTCATCTAAGAAACCACTCGTACTTAGCGATGTGAACGCGGTCTCCTCCCCACGCCACCCCCTCATTCCACTGCCCTCTCCCCGGCGACACTCTGAAAGAGCTACTTGGAAAAGAAGAATTGCTGAGTGTTTTCCATGTATCTTGCACTCTTAGCATTGGAAGGACATTTAAATGTCTGGCCCAGGTCCCTCATTTTAAAGATGACTAAACTACATTCCAAAAAGATGAAGCGGCTCCCCCAAGTCCCCTTCCTGGTAATGTCATAGGCTGGTCCTGAGCTAAGAGTTTCCAGGTAGCCCACCAAGGCTTGGGGAGAGATTTTAAAATTTAACATTAGCGCTTGCTTATTATTCATACAAATGAACAGATTTCATTGTGATATTTATGTGTATGCATCTAACGTGCTTTTATAGTATCCCCGCTCCCCACTACACTCTCTAGCCCCTGCTCGCCATCCCCTAGTTCCCTTCTCCTTCCTTAATGTCTGCCTTCTTTCATGCTATCTTTTTCTCCCCTACGTTTCACATGTGTAGAAAACACACAATACTTGTCTTTCCGAGTCTGGCTTATCTCATTTAATCAAGAACGGACTGGAAATGAAGAGTAAGCAGGGTCATGGTGGAAGGTGGATCTCCAGTTCCAGCCATTTCCCTAAAAAAAAAAAAAAAAAAAACCAAGATTTCGTTGGCTACAGCAGAATAACACTGCATCAGTTGATGAGCACTGAGGCTGATTCTGTAACTTAGCTCTTATGACTGGTGCTGTAATGAACGCTGGGTATCCAGGTAGCTCTGTAGTATACTGACTTTGATTCTTTCAGGTGCTCACGTAGGAGGTGTATGCCAGAATCATACAGTAATTCTATTTTAGGATTTAAGGAAACTATGCTGTTTTCCATGGTGGCTGTACTAATTTACATTCCTTCAGTGAGGCATATTTTAAGGAAACACTTTTCCCATCTACTTAAGACTTATTTTGTTCTGATTTCTCTACAGGAAAGGGGCAAATGTTTGCATTACTTACAGTTGTTGAGTACAGTTGTATGCTAGACACCATGCTAGATGTTTTATATATAAAATTTCGATTAACAACAATTTTATAATAGTATTACTATTTTCCCCATTTTTCAGGTAAGAAAATGAAGTCAGAACTTGAATTTTGATTAGTAGAGTGGAAGGATGAGTTTAGGGATGTCTGTAGTTCCCAAGCTCATTATCTTTACATAATATCACTTCTGAATTCTACAGGGCTGCATTAACCTGTGTTTCTTAAGCATTGCTCTTGCTTGTGGTCAGCTGTGAATGGTCTTGGGGACTCTTTCCAGGCAGTTCATGTTCTGCAAGTGTGCAGGCTTGCTCCTGCTTGGGGCCTTGCTCTCGCTTGGGGCCTTGCTCCG